GACGTCCAGCGACTCCTGCTGCACCACCGGAGGTTCCTTCGACGTGTGTTTCTGCATTATGCCAAGCAAGATGCGCTGGATGTGGAGAGGTCCAAGATGAACTTTGGCGAGTTTCAGACGTTCGTGTCCGAGTTCCAACTCAACGACGACGCGCTGTTTCCCCGGCCATGACGCTGCTCGTGTTAATGCCGTGATCAGATATACTTGTTGCTCCTTTTCGGCCAAAATGTGCCTGGCTCCATATATTTCCATACAAAAAGGTCGGTTGGTTTAAATTTTATTACTCGACCAATTTTTCACCAATCGAAAATCTGAACCGTAACTTCTGTTGGGCTTGTCCAGTTCTATCGTTATTATTTTGCTAAAAAGTATCAGTACAAAGTTACAAAGTTGGAATAGGTGTCGAAAGGCGAGGCATTTTTTTGTAGTCTTTAGATGAATTGCACCATATATTGGGAAATCTCGTCCATCCGAGCGGGTTAATGGCGTTTGACACAGGCTGCGTTTGCTCCTTACTTGTGTCCCCAACGAATGCACTTCCGGGCTATTTGCTCGCAATAGTTCGTATACAGTAGACAGTAGACAAAATATCGGGGATTGCGTTAGTTTCAGTCGTGAATATTACTACTATAACACAACGTGAACTGTAGTAAGAACGATGCGATAGCTTATTCTAAAAGTTACCGGTACGACGAATTTGGTGATCTCAGATAAAGCAGCACAAAATGCGTGATTAGTCAACGCAGCTCATCAGGTACAACTTGCACAGAAATGCGATATAACTGTTGAAACGGTCACGACTACTACCGCTCATGTCCCATCGGGTGCCAGACCTGCGTCTGACGCCCGAACCAGAGAGGTTGAAGCCATCATCGTTGCAGCACCACGTCTCGGACTTTGGATCGTCGCCCCAGGCGGTTGTATCTGCCGCCGCCATGTCCCTCAAGTCCAAAGTGTCGATGCACATGCCTCAATTGGGGGAGCTTCGAAGGGCATCGTTGACGTCGTCCATGGTCAAAGCCAACCCCAAAGTCCGTCGAGTGCCCACCGATCGGAGCCACGTGGCGTCGTTCCAGAAGCTGCTCTCGTCTTTCGACGAAGGAGACAACGCCCTCAGAATCGTCACCACGCTCAACTCGATGCTGCAGTCCATCGTCTCGGCCGTCGTGACGGACATCGACAACGCCAAGATCGCGCGGGAGGCGTCGGTGCACGCCATCACTCTGTTCGTGCACGGGGTGCAGGAGGTGGCGACGGAGGTGCAGAACCCCGCGCTGAGTGCGCTCCTGAACGATCTGAGCCACCGGATCTTGCAACTGGACAAGTTTGTGCGGGGGTACTTCATCTTGGAGACCCTCGAGCTGGACCAAGTGGTGGCATCGCTGGAAGACAGTCTCGACCAAGCTTACGTTCGCGTCCAGGCTCTGCAGGACGAGCTCAAGGCCATGGTGCACACACACAAGCGCAAAATCGCCGAAGCCAAGCTCATGGCCGTCATCCACGATGCCACGTACGATTGAAACTAGGAAAACGTTCAAAC